AACGGCCTGAGGGGTGGGGGAATGCTTGGTGGAGGGGACAAAGAGGGGGAAATCAGGACAACTGTAATAGCATAATCAATAAAATATAATTTTTTAAATAAATTTAAGAAATCTATAGGCTTTAATTCAATTAAGGGAGGTTCTAGCCCCAGCTTTCCCACTGCAAGATGATCCAAAGCAAGTCACTCCCCTTCTGTTAGGGCTCTGTTTCTTTATCTCCAAGACCAAGATTAGACTAGATCAGCACTTTACAAAGCTTTTAACCAACCCTCCCCCGGACCAAAAAAAAAAAAAAAAGTTCCATGATTAACCGTTTTACAGATACTGGTCGGGCAGGTTTCTTTATTGCAGGATTTTTCAGAGACTGAGATATGTTAATGTATGTGAATCTCCAAGGTTCCAAAGCTGGGGAGACATTTTCTGACTGTGGCTGGCTGCTGAAGCCTTTTCTGCATGAAAACATGAATTTGGGGAAGACTGATCTGTTCTGGAGGGTTCTGAGGCCCCTTCAGCTCTAATAAACTGTGCTTCTACAGTGAGGTCTAACAGCACAGACAGGACCAGGATGGCAGCAGTGGAGGAGGAGGGTGTCTTACCTTTCAGATTCAGAAAGGCCTTGAATACCTAATTAAGGACTACAGACAGACTTCATTATATACAGTAAATAGTTATGAGGGGCAGCATGTTCCAAGTTGTTCTGTAGAAGTGAACTCCAGGGCAAACTGGAATCTGGGATGGGAGGCTAGAAGGTGAGATGTTACTGACAAAATAAGGTACAAAGGGGCAAGAACTTGCTCTGGAATGGCAGCCCCTGGGACTGGAGAGAAAATGATACACAAGACCAAGAAATGAGCAAGAGACCAAGACTTACAAGCTACAATGTCAGATGCTTAGGAGACACTCTAGAAGAAATGGAGAATTCAAAGAGGAAAACTGCAGGAAGACAAAAGTCAGTTGCATGAAAACAAAGAGAAGAGTAAAATAAACTGTTGAGAGTTGAGAAAAAACAGCAAACCCGAGGCTTCAATTCTACAATTTGAAAAGCTTGAAAGTTTTGGGGCATTAAATAGTCAAGAGGTAAGTTCAGATCTTCTCTATTAGGTTAAGGAAAGTTTTATAACCTGATATTGAGGCATGGGGGCTAAAACTAACTGAATTATCAACAAATAAAGCTATGATTCCACAAGTACAGTATTAAATGCTTTACAAATATTAACCCACTAATTCCTAATGACACTGTCAATGGAGCCAATGGAGTCAATGGAGCAGTTTTACTCAATTTTCAGGTAAGAAACTGAGCCTCCAGGAGGCTGGTTTATACAAGGTCGAATAACTGCAGTAGGTGATGCGAGCAATACTCGAACCCAGTCGGGATTCGAGTATTGGGAATACTCCAAAGCCCATGTCGGGATTGGTATGCTAAGAGCTCTTCAGTGTTTTCTGCATCTATAGAAAATGACCTTTTATAAACACTGATAATCAATCCTTCTTGAAAAAACACCCAGTATCCCCAGGGAGGGTCAGAGGCTCTCCCAAATTCAATTCAATTCGCCCAGCATGTACTAAGAACTTGCTCTATGTCATTAGTTAACTTGTAACTGCAGTTTCAGCAAGTAGTACAAGACCCACCCCTGACTTCAAGGAATCAGCTATCTGTTAGAACCATAAGACAAACACATACAAAGCAGTATGAACAACAGAGAAGTAAATGATCATGGTTCAAAATGAGAGCTGCAGATAAAAAAAACAAACAAACGAAAAAGAAAACAACAACAAAAGACTAGATCTCAGCTGCCGAGAAGAAGGAAGGGCACTGCAGACTGAAGTGGTTTAAGAAGGGCATCTGAAAGAGACAACAAAGGGGCTGGCGCTCAGGGGTTGGTAAGGACTGAAGGCAGTTTGACAGGATGGAGTGGAGTAGGCAGCAGAGATGAGAAAAAAGACAGGAAAGAGTGGAGGCAGGTAGACCAGACAGAGGTCTTCAGAAAGTCAGTGTCCACAACAGCTACAGGGTAGACAGGTCTCTACCTGCAGACAAACCCATTCCTACACGTGTAGGCTTGATGATGAGAGCAAAGACGGCTGGTTCTGCACTCTGGGTACCTACTCTACAGAAATGCTCACACATGGAGAGTACACAAATGTCTTAAGGATGTTCACTGTGGTATGGTTCCTAAGAGTGTAAAGTAAGAACATCTAAAATGTCCAGCAATAGGAAATAGATTACCTCAACAGAGACAAGAGAGAAGGGGGGGCAGGGAAAGGGAAGGGAAGGGGAAAGTCAAGGAACATATAGCAAGGACTCATGGACAAAACCAAAGGGGAAGAGCTGAGGGAGGGCAGGTGGGAGGGGGCAAGGGAAAGAGGTGGGGGGGGAGGCAGAGACAAATGTATTTAAAAAGTAAATAAATTAAAAAAAAAAAAAAAGGAAATAGATTAACTAAAAGGAGGTACTTTCAGTCCAAGGTACACTACAGTCACCAGAAGAATGCAGCTGACGTGGAGCGATCTACATGATGTGCTTGGTATGAAAAAAATGCAAGCTGTACAGCTATTATGTAGTTTACTATCATTTATGAAAAATAAAACTACATGTAAATCTGTCAGTGTGTATAAAAACATTAAAGGACTTACTTCAAAATTTTATTGTGACTTTATTTCTAAAGAGTGGGATGACAGTAAAAGGGAATTTTTACTTTTGACTCTCCACTGCTCTGCACTGTTTTAAGTTTGCAATGAAAATTTATCCCTGTGTTAAAAAGACCACAAGTTCCCATCCAGCCTTGTGGTTCACATGCCTTTAACCTTCCATGAGGGCAAGGAATGCAAGAATCACACAAACAGAGGATCATAAAATTTCACAGTTGAAAACCTCAGGGGACTTGACCCATGTGGCTCAGTGGGTTGGGCATTGTCCCACAGTATGAGGGGGTCACAGCTTCAATCCCTCTGGTCAGGACACATGCGTGGGTTGCAGGTTCGGCTCCAGGTCGGGGCATGTGTGGGAGGCAACTGATTGATGTTTCCCTTTCTCATCAGTCTTTCTCTCCCTTTCTCCCTCCCTTCTCCCTCTCTTAAAATAAATAAATAAAATCTTTTAAAAAATGAAGAAGAAAACCTCAGAGATGTTCTGAAAGTCTCCAGTTTGACAGCGCACAAGACAGGGCAAAAGAAAGATAAACGAAGACATCCAACAGAAACAAATTTAAGCCCCCAACCTTTAGTGTACCATTTGATTGAAATCCTGGGAAGCTCAGCTTATTACTGATTTTTTAAAATTCATTTATTTTCAGAGAGAAGGGAAGGGAGAGAAAAAGAGAGGGAGAGAAACATCCAATGTGTGAGAGAAACATCTATTAGCTGCCTTTCGCACGTGCCCCAACTGGGCACCTGGCCCACAACCCAAGCACATGTCCTGACTAAGAATCGAACTTGCAACCCTTTGATCCTTAGGATGATGCTCAATCATCTGAGCCAGAGTGTTATTGATTTTTAAAATGTGCAAACTGGGGATGCTGTTTTACCTCCTTTCAACCTTGTCAACATTTACTGATTCTTTAAGACTGGGCTAGGACCTGGCCAGGTAGCTCAGCTGGTTGAAGCATTGACTGGATACACCAGGGTGTGGGTTTGATACCTGGTAAGGGCACATATAAGAGTCAATCAATGAATGTATGAATGAGTGGAACAACAGATTGATGCTTTTCTCTCTCTCTAAAAAAATTTAAAAAAAAGAAAAAAAGATTGGACTCAAATGTTGCCTGTCTTTAAATGAAATTAACTTTAAACTTCCAAATTAATTCTAGCAACTTTTTAGACAATACATAGCCAAAAATAAACAATCTGCAGCCCTACCACCTAGATACAGCCACAGTTAACATTCTTTTTCTTTCTCTTTCTTTCCAAAAATGGGACTGTGGTAGAAAGTTTTATAAACTACTATTTTTATTAAACAGTATATTGTGAAAGGTTTTCCATATCATTACATTTTTCTCAACCGCATCTTTTAAAATTACTATATAATTTACAAATAAGAGCAACCTTTTACCAGGGTACTGTGCTAAGCATTTTATTTACATTATCTCAATCCTCAAACAAGCCTTCCCAACACACACATGCACGCGCGCGCGCGCGCGCACACACACACACACACACACACACACACACACACACACACACACAGCCTAGATAGGGGTTGTTGCTAGGGTTTAGGAGAAATGGGTACCTGACCAAAGTCACACTACTTATCAAGTGACAGACTGGGTTTCACACCCAGGTCCTTCTAACTCAGAACTGTGAATTCTTGACCACCCAAATGTCCCCTGGTAAAAATGGACCACAACTCCTTGTACCAATCTCCAGTTGCTGGGCAAAAAAACAATCTGACTGTTTCTAATTTTTCTCCACAGTGTCACGATGGACATCACTACAGCCACCCCTGTTTGATCTCCTCCCTCCTGGCTAGAAGCTTCCTGACTGCTGTGAGCAAACTGCTTCTCAAACTATCTGCAGTGAAAGGCCTTTTTTGTTTTCAATCCATGGGGAATCAAAAAGTATTAATTCCTAGAAATAAGGAAATGAAAAGACATACACAAAATACAAGCCCCAAATGATTAAAATAATAAAGTTTCTGTCACATATATTTTACCACTTTAAAAAAAAAAGTACCATTTAAAAAATTATTAAATTTAAGAGGTTTTGTCAAATTGCTATAAAAATTTCTAAATGCTTATTCTCAATTTCTGTGTTTATTGTGTGGAGGACCAGATAACATGTTGGGGACTGAAGCCAGGATGCAGACTATACTCTGACCCGCACCTCTATTATCTCCTACCAGGGTTATCTGTTTACCTGACTCCCCTCCTAAAATGCAAATCCCGCCTGTGTCTGATTCACTAGTGAATGCTCTGGCTCAGTGTCTAGAGCACTTGTTGACTCCGTGGACTGAAGGAATGTTCAAGTAATGTCTATGACCTCAGGAGCTGAGAGAGGCTACTCACCATTTGGAACCAGGAGGAGGCTTTTCACAATGCTTCTGAGGGGGCCAAGACTGATCTGATTGGCCGTGGCAAATTCAGAGAGCTGAGCCATAAACCTTTCTACCTGCAAAGAGAGAACGGCACAGACGAGGCCTTCACTATCTCAGGACTATAGAACCACACTCGGGAACTCTCCTTTTCACAAAATACTTTACCTCTTTTGGCTCAGTTAGGAAGTGAAAAAGCACTTCCGTCAGGGCTGAGAACTGCTGTAAAGAGAATAACACAGAACATCAGTAAAAGTCTATTCCTGGTCAGTGTTCCCACATCCCATCCAACAACAGACCATTAAGAGAGAAAAGAATAACACACAGGTGTTGATACCTGTTTGGTTAATCTTCAAGTTACAAATATTCACAATACCCACCGCCAATGTCAATATATTGTCTGAAAGCTTGTATATTTTATTGGGATACTTGGGAGATATGTATTGAGATTGCAAGTGTGAGCACATGTGCACACATACATCTCCAGGGTCCAAATATATACAAGAACAAATACACACACACACACACTCATGTCCTGGAAGGGAAATTCACCAGAACATTAAAGGCAGTTACTTTTTTAGTTTGTTTGTTTATACTTTCACATATCTTTTATTCAAACATAAGCCAACCAAATACATAATTTCTCCTCTCCCCTCCCCTGTACAAATAGTAATATACTATATAAAATTTTTCTGTACTTTGCTTTTTAAAAGCAGTTACATTTGTATGGTAAGATTTTGAGTGATTTTTATTTTCTTCTGTTTTTATATACCCATATTTTCTGGGGTTTTTGCCCCCATAAGAAACTTCCTGTGGCTCTGACAGGTGTGGCTCAGTTGGTTGGGTATCTGTTCTTCAAAGCGAAAGGTTACCAGTTCAATTCTTGGTCAGGGCACATGCAAGAGGCAACCCATTGATATTTCTCTCTCACATCATTTCTCTCCCTCTCTTTCTCCCTCCCTTCCCCCCTCTCTAAAAATAAATCAATAAAATCTTTTTAAAAAAGAAACATCTTGTGTGTCTGTGTATATACAAAAACCAGCAAAATTTAACACTTTATTATACATTGTCTTAGACCAATCCCTTTATTATTTTGTGCATGTAAATCATCTTTTTAAAAAAAGATTTTATTTAGTTTTTAGAGGGGAAGGGAAGGAGAAAGAGAGGGAGAGAAACATCAATGTGTGGTTGCCTCTCACACACCCCCTACTGGGGACCTGGTCCGCAACCCAGGCATGTGTCCTGGCTGGGAATCGAACCGGCAGCCCTTTGGTTTGCAGGCCAGCACTCAATCCACTGAGCCACACCAGCCAGGGAGCATGTAAATCTTCTCTTTACTCGTATTGTATTATTAAGGATTAAATGTCTGTGTCCCCCAAAATTCACATGCTGAATTTATTACTGTATTTGGAGAGAGAGCCTGAGAGGAGGAATGAAGGTTAAATGAGGTCATAAAGGTGGGGCCATTAATCCCATAGGGCTTCCTTCGAAGAGGGAGAAAAACCAGAGCTGTCTATATGACACATGTCACGTGAGGACACATGAGAAGGCAGCCATCTGCAAGCCAGGAAGAGAGCTTGCATCAGGAACTAAGTCTGTTGGCATCTTGATCTTGGATTTACCAACCCCCAGAATGGTAAGAAATAAATTTCTGTTGTTAAAACCACCTCGTTTGTGGTATTTTGTTACGGCTCAAGCAGACTGAGACATATATCATTATTTTCCCATGCCCCCTCCCAGTGGACAGTATGTGGCACAGTGGGGAAACCTAAGACACAGGAGTTTAAAAGACCCCGACGTAAATCAGTGTTTTCCTACTTACTTCACCATCTAATCTTGGACAAGTTACTCAGCCTCTCTGTCTCAGTCCCCATTTCCAGAACATATTAAAAATTGACATATGCAAAGCCTCCAGCACAGTGCCAAGCTAAAGGCTAAACAAACGGCAGCAATTATCATAGCCATAATTAGAGCCACTATACCATTTGACCCACCTTTCTGAAGCAATACAACATTATAAAAAAAGATTACATACAGATACTTAAGCTCAAAGTCGCCAAAGCTGTACCTGTAATGATTATCAAATGCACCTGCCTCTTTTGCTATAACCTACTAAATTCCACACAAAGTCCTGTTACAGCTCTGTATTATTTTATTCTAAAATGTACTGTTTTAAAACCAGCCTTTGAAAACCTAAAATCAATATATATACCAGGTTTTTAAAAGACCCAAGTTAACATAAAAAATTATTAAAAAAAACATTTCTCTTTCTCCCTGTCCCCCACCTCAGTCCCACTCCCCAAAGGTAGTTACTGCTAACACCTCTGTGGCTTTCCCATCATTTTATTTTCATTTATTTTATTTTCTTTTTCTTTTTTCATTGCAACTTATTTTAATAGAGAAAAGATAGATGCAAACTAAATGCCCATTGTTAGTGTACTGGTAGAAATAAATTATGTACATCCTTACAACAGAATACTAGGCAACTGTTTATACAATGAGGCAACACTACAGGTCTAGCTATAAAATGTTACATGAAAAAACAAGGTGTGAAGCAGTGTATAGAGTGTACTACCAATGGTATGTATGCATGCTTGAATTCCTGTTTATTCATTTATTCATTCAACAAATATTTTTTATTTTAATTTTTTTATTCAAATACATTTGTCTCCATTTTCCCGCCACCACTTTCCTCTGCCCCACCCACCCCCACCTCCCACCCTTGATCCTTCCCCACTTCGGTTTTGTCCATGGGTCCTTTATACATGTTCCTTAATTTATTTTAAATACAAATGGAATCATAATGAACCCAGTCCCTGCACCTTGTCTTTTTTCACTCAATTTTGTCATAGAAATCAGTCATGTCCGCAGATATAAGTGTACCCAGCTCTTTAACAACTGCATGGCATTTGAGTGTAGAGTTAGCATAATTTAGCTTCCTACAAATGGACATTAGTGTGAGTGTGTTGTTAGTATTACTGTAAACAATGCTGCAACTATCCTTCCACATATTTCTTTGTGACACACGTAAGATAAATTCTTAAAATGTATCCTAGGTCAAACCATATATGCATTTTAAATTCTGAGAAAATGTTGCCAAACTGCCTTGCAAAGAAGTTGTGCAGATTTACACTCCAGGAAATGTCTGCTCTCTCAAAACATCAATATGCCCCAGGAACATTTTAACCAACATGATTCACCCATTGTCTTTCTGCAGTATTTATGATATCGGGTATTAGCCTTGAAAACTGCTGATCCTGTATAGTAAAAATGATAGTCAAGACTGGCTTGAGAATGTATTCTTCAGCTGCTTGTGAGTTTTTCTTTACATTTTTTGCTGCAAATCTGTGGAACTATCAGATCTTTGGCCAACTGCATTTCCTATGCTACCCACAGCTTTAAAAAAGAATTAGGGCAGCTGAGAAACCCTTCCACTACTTTTTCATTTCTAGGCCTCAGCCTACCATTCAGACTCAACCTCCTCGTGGAGTTTCATCCCTTACCTCTCTTCTCAAGAGGGGCCTCAAATTAATCTGGTCTGTAGGCTATTACAGACCCCCAGGGCAATCTCCACTTTCCCAAACCCTCCTTGCCCTTCAAAGCCCAGGCTAAGATACCAGGAAACTCCCAAAAAGAAAGAGACCTACCCAGATTCTTAACCTCTGAGGCTCCCTCTTGGAACTTTGCCTAGAGGCACTTTGAATTTTTAATCTTGATAAGGAACAAGAACAAGCCTTAACAGAGAAGGTTCCTTGTAAGGTTTTGTACGGTCACAGCACCCTAATTATTGTAAGGGCACAGTATTTGTTGAATAATTGTCCTTTGAACACTTTTCCCCATTCTTTGCCTCTGTACCTGCATAGTTATCTCTCCCTGGAATGCTCACCTGCCTGTGACTATCTCAGAAATCAAAATCTAAACCATTCTCACCAGTAAACGTATAAAAAAGGTGCTCAAGATCATCCCAGACTAGGAAAATGCAAATCAGTAAGACAAGGAGACTTTTATTTTCACTTATCAGATCTTCAAAAATAAAAGTTAAAAAAAAAGTTTGTTGACATCAGTTCTGGTCAATGTAAAAGGAAACAGACATGCTCACACACTGTTGATGAATGGATAACCTGGAGCAACATTTTTGGAGGGCAATCTGGCAATCTGCGTCTAATTTTTAAATGACCCTGACCTAATAATTCCATTGCAAGTATACCCTTCTGATATGTTTAAAAAAAGTAATCCCAGACACATTTACACAAAGCATTTCATTAACAGCATTGTTCATAAAAATAAAAAAACAACTTCAAGGAATATCACACAATTCCCTTTTATGTTAAAAAAATTTTTTTAACGGATATCTATATATATATATGATGGCCGATGTACTTTTTTTTCTCTATAGATACGTAAGAAACTATTAAAATGACTATTTCTGGAGACAAGAGAAATAGGTATTGTTTTCATTTTATACCTTCAAATAATGTTTGAATTTTCTAATGTGTGTGTGTTGCTTTACATTTCTAGCTAAATGACAGGAATGTAGACCATTTGTTTTCTTCTTTATATTTTTCTGAATTTCCTTTCTCATAACCATTCTAAAAATGACTATTTTTTAATCCCATGTCTTTTCAAGGCTCTGTATTACCTAGGATTGATCACAGGCATTACAGAGCACTTAGCATTGTATTGTGTCTCCATTTTTGACCTGCTCTAGCAGATCACAACTTCCCCAGGACAGCAGGCTGTATCCAGTAAGCCTTTGTAAACCTCACTGGGTTTAGTGGCCAGCTGGTGTATAATAGTAGGCATTCAGATAAATATGTGCCGAATAAGAAGTAAATCGTGATGCCAACATTAATAAAATGATTCTTTTTCTCCTTTAGGCCTAGGCCTTAGATTTCAAAATAAATTCAGCTAATGAAGTGGGTACTCAGATTCACCCAACAAAAGGGGGGGCAAAATGACCCAAAGTTGATAAGCTGCTTAGCAGGAAAAAGCTTTCTGTGTTAAAAACAAAAGTAAAGGTTAGAGTGTGTTTCAAAGTAAGAAAATCCATCACGTCCTGATCTTAAAGGAAATGATTAGTATTTTCAATGACTTCCAAGTTGGAGATAACCTTAGGGATCACCCAATCCAGTAGCTTAAAGTTATTATTACTTGCCCTGGCTGGTGTGGCTGAGGGGACTGAGCTCCGGCCTGCAAACCAAAGGGTCACCAGTTAATTCCCAGTCAGGGTACAGGCCTGGGTTGCAGGCCAGGTCTGCAGTAAGGGGTGATTGAGAGGCAACCACACATTAATGTTTCTCTCCCTCACTTCCCCTCTCTAAAAATAAATAAATAAAATCTTTTTTAAAAGGGTTATTTTTTTTTAAAATTAAAGTACAGTTGGCATACAATATTACATTAGTTTCGGGTGTATGCTTAAAGTTTTTCTGCAGCAGAATCTTTTTTTATTCTCCAAATGGAAGTCTTCCAGAAAACGCCTACATGTAAACAAGAAATACGTAAGCTACTTGGTTCAGGAGATCATCTATAAAGCTCAGTTCTAGAGTGGTTAATTCCCTAGGAACTGAAATTCAGATATCTGGTCCTGAATTCCTGGCTCCAACACTTTCACGCCCCCTAACTTTAAAGTGGTCACTTTACTTTCCTGAACCATTTTTTGTATCTGTAAAATGGGAATAAGGTTAGCACCTAACTTTTAAGGTTGTTGCACATAAAGAACTTAAGACAGCCTGGCACATGGTGCATGCCCAATAAATAAGAGCTACTTTCACTTCTCTGTGATTTAGTTTTCCCATCTGTAAAATAAGATTAATAATATTACCCAACTGGGAGGGTGGTTGCAAGGATTCAGTGTGTTAATATACATAAAAGCACTTAGAACTGTGCTGTCTAGTACAGTAGCCACTAGCCACGTATAGCTACAGCACTTGAAAAGGGCTAATCTGAGATGTTATCAATGTTAAATACATACCAGAACCAGAAAAGTTATCACCAAAAAGTAAAATACTCATTCATACTTTTATGTGGATTACATGTTAAAACAGTATTTTGATATAGTGGAGTAAAGAAAATATTAAAATTAATTTCCTGTTTCTTTTTAATTTTTAAATGTGGTTGTTAGATATGGGACTTGCAATTTATTGCTACTGGACGCCGCAGCCTGAGAAGATGACTGGCATTATAATTACTGTCACCATTACTTAATGAGAACACAGTAAGTGGTGGGGGACGCTGAGATGAAAGGGAGGGTCCCACCTCCTGGAAAGTTACAACCCAGTGCGGGAAAGAACTCTGCAGGGGGAGTGAGAAGCCTCACTTTCAGCTATTTATTTGGTCTGCCTTCGGGGCATCAAAGGGGCATCCCAATCAGCACAGGAACAGGAAGCCTTCAAGAAGGAATGGCTGGCACCTGTGGCCTGGAAAGGGCCAAAACGGCTTTGCCAGCTCCACTCCCATCAAGACCGAGCTCTACACTGTGCAGAGTGTATACTTTGTCTTCCTTTGATGACTAGGAGGGCGGTATTTCCCTTAATTGGAGATGTGGGCGGGTAGGATGTCATCTCCAGCCTCGCCCCAGACCCTGCCCTCGGGCGCACAGAGCCCCGCTCCGGCCTGGCTATTACCTAAGCCCACATCGGACCCCCGACTCCCTAGCCCCACTCCAGGCTGCCCACCCTTGGGACGCCCAGACCCTCCGCTGTCTCCTCAAGCCCCTCGGCCTCCCTACTGAACGTCTCAGTCCCTGCCTGGCCCACCAAATTCCACCGCTCCACCGATGTCCCTCAGGCTCCCAAAGCCCTGTCCACTTCTTAGTTCCCCAAACTCCCTCCAGCCTTGTCAAGACTCTCCTCAGTCCCTCTTCTGAGACCCCTCAAACTCGGCTCGTTCCCGGAAGTCCCCAGCTCCACCTCTGAGACCCAACGCCCCCGAGAGACCTCTCGGCTTGCCCTTAGGCCTCTGACACCCTCGGCCCCCCAGCTCGCCTCAGACCCCAGTTCCGCTCAGCCCGTCCCCGAATCCCCCCAGCGCCATCACGCACACCAGACGCCGCTCGGTCTGGTTCCCCCGAGCGCCCCTGGACCCCAGGCGGCCCGCAGCCTAACCCCCCAGCATCCCGCTCAGCCCTCCCAGCACCACCCCGGGCCGCGGCCCCGCAGCTCCGCGCCCGGCGCGCCCTAGCCGCCAGGCCCACCTGCACGTCCAACTGGTTCAGCTGCTGCATGTCGCCGCCCACAGCCTCCGGCACGGGGTCTTGCGTGCAGTGCAGGCGGCCCATGGCGTCCTCCCCGCCTGGCCGACCCCGCGGGCCCTGCAGCTCCTGCCGTCTCCCTCAGCTTCCTCCTCGGCCGCTGCCCGTCTCGCCGCGCTTCCGCAGCCGCACTTTCGCCACAGGCCGCCGCCGCGCTCCTCCCCCGGCCAGCGCGAGAGCTGGGCGGGGCACCCTCGCGGAGCGGTGGACACGCGCGAACTCCGGGTGTGGAGGCGGCGCTTCCTGGCGGAACGCCCTGGAGACGCCACGGACACGCGCGGCCGCTGCACCCGGGGGCGGTCCCTGAGGAACACAGCACGAGAACTCAGGATTCTCTACCGATTTTCCCCGCTGGGTGACTCCTGGGCGCAGCTTGGCTTTTCTGATCCTCAGTTTCATTAGCCCTAAAATGATTTTGGGGGTTTCAGTATCTCTAAAACCCTCCTAAAATGTTTAGAACATAGCCTGGCGCTCAGGAAGTCCTCAGTCAATGGCTAGCTGCTCTCATTATCGTCGTTGTTCAGCGGATATTTATTGCATGCCTACTAGATGCCAGGCCCTGTGGATAGAGGACTGAACAGCTCAGGCCGTGTCCCTGGGAGGGCTTACATCACAGCAGAGCAGTAGGTCTCAAACTCGAGCTTTCATCAGCTCCTTCTGGGGGGCTTACTCCAAGGCCCATTACTGGGTCCCACCCCACCCCATCCCCAGTGTCTGGCTAGAAAGGCCTGGGGTGGAGCCTGAAAATTTGCATTTCCAGCAACTTTGCAGGGACCACACTTTTGAGAAATTCTGAAGCGGAAGAACTGAGCTGAAGAAGTGCAAGGACTGTGATAGTGCCAGGGAGGGCTGTGATCAAGTGGGTGAGGGGAGGTTATTGGGACAGCTGACAATCACTGCAGCCCTGAGGCTCTCTTCCAAAGGGCCCCTCGAATTCCCCAGGTCCCCATGAAGAAACGAAGACGTGCTCCCTGCAGTCTAGGACCTGACCCTCAAGCCCAAGACCTTCACCTACCCCGGTGCCCAGCCTTGAGGATATGAAGATTTTGCTTAGAGAACATGGGGTCAGGGACTATGGGCAGGATTGGCTGGCTTTCCCTGCCCGGCTTTCTTCTTTACCCTTTTGGAAAAATCCCTCTGGAAGGGTATGAGCAAAATGTCTTCCATCTGGAGGCCAAGATCTCTTTTAATCATTATTTCATTCATGTATTAATTCAACAGATAGTATTGAGTGCCTCCTGTAGGGCAGATGCCAAGACAGGTGCTGGGACACCACAGTGACAAAACTAGATGCAGTGCCTGGTCCGGGAGAAATGAGCTTAGTCAACGAAGGCAGACACATGTGAAATTCATGTGTGTGAAATATCATTGACTGGTGCCAAGAAGTACAAAGCACTTTGAATATGTGTACAGGGCCCTCGTCCAAGTTCAAGGTACGAATAAACCTTCGGGTTACAGACAGACAGGGATTGAACTCAGAATTCTTGACTCACCATCCAGGAATTTTTATTTTAAAATATTCCTAATCTTTAAAAAAAGATCCTGGTCAGGGAATTATATTTATTCATATATTTAAGTGTTAAATCAACTTTGTTGAAGTATAGTTTATATACAATGAAGTGTACCCATTTTAAGTGTTGTTTCTTTAAGTTACATTAGCTTTATTTTTTTAAACATCCTTAGGAAACCACTGGATTTCCTTTATTTCTGCTCCTACATTGAGGAGTGCTGAGGCACTTCATAAATATTTGTGGAATGTGATTAGCTTATGTGACAGAAAATAGAGAAAGGGAAAGAAATTCCCTTGAAACTGCAGCCCAACACTGTAATGAGACAGTGATTGTATTGTCTTCCAGTGTTTTTCCACATGACAAGTCATTGGGGTTTCTGTGGTTTGTTTTGTTTTTACATATGGAGGGCTCTCCCAAGCTATTAAATTCTGTTCCTCAAAGTATGGTCCTTGGACCAGCAGCAGGGACATTACCTGGGAGTCTGTTAGAAATGCAGACTCTCAGGCCTAACCTCGACCTGCTGATTAAGGATCTGCATTTTTAACAAGACCTCCAGGTGACTGCTGTACATTCAAGTTTAAAGTACAAATAATAACCATTTTAAAATGCCTACCATGTGCAGGTTTTTGTTTTTTTTAAACAGCCAAATACACACCATGTATGTTAATAGTTTGCATAGTCTATCTATTTTGCTCATATCATTTCTATTTTAATGCTTATCACATTGAGTTATTGCTGTTGTTTACATATAATTATCTTCCCCACTTAACTAAGTATGTTGTCTTGGGCAAATTACTAACTATTCTCTGCCTCCATTTCCTTTTTTAAATTGTTTTTTATTTTTATTTTTAATTTATTGATTTTTAGAGAGAGAGAGAAAGGGGGAGAGAGAGAGAAACATCAGTTTGTTGTTCCACTTATTTATGCATTCATTGGTTGACTCTTGTATGTGTCCTGACCAGGGATTGAACCCACAACCCCTGTTTACAGGGATGACCCTGTAACCAACTGAGCAACCCAGCCAGGGCTCCATTTCTTTTTTCAATTGTAAAAATGGAGATAATAATAGAACCTATTTGAAAAGATGAAATGAGATAATGAGATAAACACTGCAGCAACTGGCTCATGGTAAGTGTTCAATAAATGCTTGTTATTATTCCAATTTTTCAATCTTATAAACAGAACATGGCATCCCTGTACACAATTCTTTTTCCACATCTGATCATTTCTTCGGGAAAAATTCCTAGAAGGGTCAAGGGATATTATGTCCAGAGTTTCTAGGTTCAAAATAGCACAAGGATGGACAAAATTTCAAGGCAGGGAGAAGCAAGACCATACATAACTGATCTCTCTGAGAACACCCAGAACTTGGCATATCGGCGTGAACAGGGACCTGGAGGCAGGTTGATGCTGCCAACAACCCACATCCCTTCAGCCCCCAGGAGAAGTCTAAGTGCTTAAAAGGAGTCCTCAAAATTTCAGACAGTACTATTCTTGGCTTAATTTATAAATGGTACAAAAACATCATCATAAAATACGGTATAATAGTCTACGGCCTGGCCAGTTATCTCACTCAGTTCATTAGAGCTTTGTCCTGATACTCCAAAGTTTTGAGTTTGATCCCCAGTCAGGGCACATACAAGAAGTTACCGATGAATTCATGACTAAGTGCAACAAGAAATTGATGTTTCTCTCTCCCTCCCTCCCTCTTTCTCTAAAAATCAATAAATTAAAAATATATCTATTTTACTGAATGCCCATATCTAATTGCCATGGTTGCCTATTTAGGCCTTTAGGATTTTTCAGTTTTATTAAGAACTTTGCAACTAACAAGAGATAATAGACAAAAATGGTCTTTCCGACATTCTCCTTCACAATCCACTCCTGGACAGAGGAAGGAGCAGTAATTACTGTTAATGTGATAACTTTGTAGCAGGAAATGCAGACCTGGGACCAGGCCTCCCTTCTAAAGAACCCCTGCCTCCAGCAGCTCCCATTTCAGCCTTAATGAGGGACCTTGCTCCCTTCATTCATTTTAAAATGTCCCTGTGGAAAGCAAAGGAGACCCCCTCCCCCAACCCTGCAAGTGAAAGAAGTTCATTAAGAAGTTCTTTCTCAGGCAGGAGAATTCCTGCTGGGAATTTCACCAAGGGGCCGGGTTCTCCCTAGGAGAAAGGTTGACCCTTCGCTCTCTAAAGTGCGAAAGAATATTTTTTAAAAATAAACTTTTTTATGTTGAGATAACTGTAGATTCACATACAGTTGTAAGAAATCATACAGTGAGATCTCTGTACCCTTTACTCAGTTTCTCTCAATGCACAGATTTCATGTGGCAACCCTATATAGTATAGGCTCACAACCACAGGACTGACATTGAAACAGCAGAGATGCATGAGGATCTAGCATGTTGTCCAAGGGCATTTTAACAGGAGGGACAAAACTCCAGGTCCTCTTCTACCAAAAACTGGGAAAAAAAAAATCCTATGGACATTTTCATGTTTCCATTTATTATCCTAATCATACCTTCTATATTAGCTCCTTTATTATAAAGGCATATAACAAAAATACAAAATTACAGTTGGCCTAGACTTTTCAAAACACCTGTGACAGGAAAGTTACCAACAAAGGAAGTCTGGGGAATTTTTCCAGATTAAAAGAAATGAAAAAGGACAAGCCAACTAAATGCAATGTGTGATCTTGGGTGGAGCTACACAATTGCAATAAAAAGATATTATTGGCACAGCAATGTGAATATATTTTACTAAATTGTGTTATGATGGTAAATTTTATGTTACGTGTTTTGTTAAACCATAATTTTTTAAAAAAGGACATTATTGGGACAATTAATGAAATTTGAACACAACTATAAATTAGACAAGAATATTGTATCAATATTTAATTCCTGAATTTGATAATTATACTTGGTTATGTAAGAGAATGTCTTTGTTCTTAAGAAATATCTGAAAGTATTGAAGGTAAAGAGGGACAAATGTTTCAAGAAAAGATTGAGGAGATAGTGCAAATATGGCACGTGCTAACAATTGGTGACTCTGGGTAAACAGTATACAATTATTCTTTGTATTATTCCTGCCACTCTTTTGTAAATTTGAATTTATTCCCCAGATAAATTTTAAAAGGGGATTGAAAAAAGCTCAATGATCTTTGTTCCCATCCAGTCATAAGGGAAAACATTTTTTATTTTAACTAATAAATCTGGGAGAGGTGCTGGCCATTTACTTGCATTTTTCCCCCTTAATCCTCTCAGTAACCCCACCAGGAGGTCTTAACTCTTATCCTTGTTTTTTTGTAGAAGGGGAGATGGGGCTTAGGGAAGTGCTACCCCGTCATTTGCCAGCTGGGAGCAGGACTGAGAGCACCTCTAAACGTGTTCTCAGAATCACTCTGGAATGACCTATTAAACTTCTCTCTCCATATTATTATTATAATTATTTGAACCATGGACTCATAGATGCACTGTTTACACTATTTATAGCATCTTGCCTTTTAACTTAGCCTATCTTGGAGCTCTTTCCTTATTAGCACTTACAGACTTGCTAGTTCTTTTCACAGCTGTGTAGTGTTTCATTGTATGGCTAGGTCCTAACTGATTTAACCAT